GAATCAATACGCGCAGTGATGGCTCAAAGTTAATTAAAGCTTGTGACTCATTCATGTCTCTGAATTAGAGTGTTATGAGTGTTATGAGACTTTTCATTGTGAGTTGCCAAAGCATTCGTAATTTTGTTTATGACATATTTTAAATCTAATAAAATTCAACTGTTGAACAAACCCGATTAAGATAGCAACGTAACTTGGCTATTTTATACGATTTTCCCCATATCGTGCGTGTTATTATGAATCTACGAAAGTAATTTTTACTTCTAAATCCAAAACAATCATTATGAATACAAAGGTAGGAGGGGAAATGTTAATTGAAAATTATACCATTATCGTAGATAAATTCTAATGATGTAATAAGAGTACGATTGTGTATCTAACTATTCAAAGACATAGTAAGAATTCAGGGCTAGACTAAATATTCATTAAAATAATGAGCTGTGAAGTAAGCAAACCGTTTACCAACTGCACCATCGACGGAGTTGTTTCGCAATGTTACAAATGCAAGCGGAAACGTGGAAGGAAATGCGCTCTCCGTTCTGCACAAATGGGGCAAGTAGGTCAGCGATTCCTCTGCGCAGCAGCCTGTTGTGTTTTTGTTTCTCGGATGTGTCCCACTTATAACTACGGGCGGGGAGAATTCCGCCCCCCCCCCGCGTGGTCTACCTCGCCCCGCAACGCGTCGCAGGCGCGCTGCCAAGGCGCTGCGGCAGTGGCGCGGCCGGTGGCGGCGGTGACGACGGCGGCGGCGGCGGCGATGTAGATCGAGTTTCCTGCTCTCTGCGGCGGGAAACGGGTCAGCTCGAGCGGAGATATCGAAATCGAACGTCTATCCTCCGATATCGAAAGCTGGCTACCGCGTCGGTACAAATTTCGTTTCAGAAATGCTTCAGCGCTGATTCACTGGTTCTCTGATTATATTTTGTAGTGTTGACGGGTCATTTACTTCTTCGCGTTTATAATAACAAAATGGCAAATAGTTCCAAAGCACAGTATATTAGTTTATTAACGTAGACTTCACGTTTTACATTTTTCAATCAAAATGTGGTAATGCAGTATCGAAAATTAAGAAATAAAGGAGCAACCATATTTTTTCATGTATTCTATCTGTTAGGTTTGACGTTAAACGTTTGCATTTTGAATAACAATTTTTACAGATAATATATATTTCAATTTATATTTTATGTAAACAATAATGTGTTTTTATTTATTAATTGTGGATATCTATGAACATATTGATAAACTTGAAAAAAAATGTGTTATGACATGTTGCTACATGAATTAAAAATCAATATTTTTCATTAAAATTTAAGAATTATGTTGCAAAATTATTTTTAATTATCAATTTTCAGTTCTAAACGAGAATCGTTTCCCTCTGCTTCATTAGTATTAACTGTTTAGATAGAACATTCAGACATTGACAGGTTAAGTAACAGACAGACCTTAAGTCTTATTACTCTGCAAAATATTATTTTACGAACCTTAAAAATAAACTTTTTTTCAAACAGTACGTAACTTTCAAAAATGAATAGCTTTTTTTGAAAAATAATTCTAATTTTTTTCATTCAATTAGTTGTACAAAGATACGTATCAAAAAATAATTGACAGAAACGAAAAAGTGTACTCTTAATATCGATAGTATTACTGATGTGTTAAAGATATAATTTGCAATTGAATGAAACTCGTCTGCACTTTACGTATGTGAATAAAATAGAAATAATTCTATAGATTCGCATTTATAAAAGCATTTCTACAACCTTTCCGCGACTATTGCGTCCCTTTTGAACGGACGCTCAGTGTTCGTTGGCATCACTGCGAAGAGAACAATCGATTTTCAAATATATCAGTTCCAGCTTTTAGAGGGAGCTACCACCTCCCAATGGAGGACCCTGTCCTTTCTGATGGGCTCTTCGCGTGTGGTTCCAAACGGACAACGAGATCAATATTAACTATTGCCTGCCTTCGTGCAGCCGCAGCCAAAAACCAAATTGACGTATTCAGCAAAGCACTTTTGTATTTGAATGTACTATATTTTAACTCGTAGGGTATTATTATCTTTTGCCGAAAAAAATATGATCTTTGAGAGCTTCTTAAAAAGATTCAAAAAGGTCTGGATTTGCTATGTAACTATTTCATGTCGGTATATTATATTATCAGTTCTTACGAGTGGCTACACATCGAAACACTTTTACCGGTAATCTTTAAAATATATTCAATAAAATCATATTGAAGTCCCATGTGACATTTCAATTAAAAGTTGGACCATTCTTAAATTTCAATTTACAATGAACCTCATGGCTTACACTCAGTTTTCAAGCTGGATACACCGGAAATCTAGGGTTGAATACTAAATTAACTTTTTCTCTGAAGAAAAAACAGTATGTTGAATTATTGAAGTATATTTTACTCAATATTTACCGCATTCAGATTTTACCTTCAAAACAAACGCAATGGCGATACTATTTTGGAAACAATTATGTTCATCTCTTTATACAACAGAGTAAATGTGAACATATATCGTTTGCCAAGTCAACTTGGCACCCAACAATGTTCACTGCTTACCCCATCGGACGACGGTCTGGCTTATTTTATGTTAATTGAATTGATAATGAAAACCGATCTAAACAACACATAATCCGCAACATTTATATTTCTTGATTAATTATTCAACAAATAACCTGACCTTCACATTATTAGCCTGTATTTCTGTCGGTATCCTCGAAAACAGTACGATTTTCTAATCATGTTTAGCTGCCTTTAGCTGCTTTTCAGCAAGTTATTCCAGTGAAACACTTCGTGTTTGCCAGGATTCGTCAGTTCTAAACATTCAAATTAAACCGCCGGTAATTTTTAGATAAAATGATAAAGTATGATTAGAAGTAACACTATTCTATTTATTATTGCCATACTGATGTACCATAAGATAATTCTAAATTGAGCTTTAATTTCAATGCTGTAACATACGATGATTCGGAACATTCTGGTAAACAATCTAACCGGATATATGAACATTTGTTTCACTCAAAAGTTGCGAGTCAGTAGTTCCCACAGATTTATATTTTCGCGGTTCGTAAATTGAGATATACTTCAAAAATCCAAAAGTGACATCCAGTTAAGATCTCCCAAGTAGTCCAAAGTGGGGTATATAATAGAAATTGTCGGGATAACCTAGTACTAACCGACATTATTTTGTCAGACATACGGAAACAAAGACTGTAAATTCAGACATGTCTGAGTTTGTGTGAAATCTTTCCTGCTGCTTTCTATACATGCATTGCAGATCCTAAAAGTGGGTTTCATTTGATGTGAAACTCAAAAGTATTGTATGTATCTTTTCTTTAAGTAATGTAAATGACTCGCGAAAAAGTACTTATTTTATTTGGAAAATGTATCGTTTTCAGCATACAAAAAGTACGCTAAACATAGTAAAGCGTTAATCATTGGATGAGTTGATAAAAAATATTCCGGTGCTGTTCCCAAGATCACATTTTGTGAATTTGTCATCGATAAACTACACTCTTCCTTTATATACTTATTGGTAATTACTATCAAAATCATTGATTTCGTAATTGGCAATATAACTGTTAAATATCGCAGTATTGATTATCCCTCATAATTTAAAAAAATGTCATTAAGCATATTTCTCGTTCACATTGACTTAAAGGAAACGAGTTGTGTGTTTCCTTTTTTAATATCATCATATTCAGTATCATGAAAGATTAGAATTGACTTTACTCGTTCGTAAATGAATATTTGGACTTTCTGTATTGTTGAAAGTGCGTGTTTCGCTTCAGCAGTTGCCAGTTGGTGCACTTACGCTGGCTAGTGAGGAGCGCTCTTCTGGGTCCCTCTAGCAGCCAGGTCTGCTGCGTCCCGCTGCCAGGCCAATCGCCGCCACTGGGCCCCGCGCCAAGGCACGCGACCTCTGTGACGCAACGTTTTATAGACCACCAGGATTTTATAGCTCTTGCTCGTGGGTCATCTCGGATTATTTGGTACTCGATTACGTCGTTGATATGTCCTGCATTCAGGACAGTTTATTGATCTGAAACCACTCAAGAGCCACTGTGGTCTGTCATTTGTTGACTTCTGTGACAAATTACGTACTATAATCATATTTTGAATGTACTTGATTTGTTGCTCTTGTTACGAGTAGTATATCGTTCATTACTGCCCGAAGTACATAGAATAGAAGTAATAATACTACTTTTACCTACATTATAATCATGAACAATCTGTCTCAAGATTGACGGAAATGGTGTTTGCGGTTCTGGATTCGCAATAAGTGTTTTATAATATGTATTTCCCTTTGCCGTGCGTATGGAACCAAATGCGGCCTCTAAACCGTACATGGATAGTTTTCCAAAATGGATTTCTTACATCAACGTGAGATCCTATGAAAGTGAAAGGAATATATTAATTTTGAGGTGTACTAAAAAAGTCTTGCTATATTTCTTTCTTTCTTTTTTCCCCTTTTTCTACAAAAATGGCTCCAGTGTTTATTTAATTTATTTCTTGTACAGTTGCATTATTTCTTGTACATACGCGTTTAAGAATAAGATAAAATTTCCATTTTGAATTTTCGAAAATTGCAAATGGGTTCGTTCCTGTCGTTCACCTTTATTTCTCTTGTTTCGTCTCTTGTTCGTGCACTTCTCTCGGAATTGATTTGTTTCCCCGTCCTGTTTGCCGCCAAAGAGGTCGTAACGAAGCACTTTGTTGACGGCGCCTCCTGTGAATGGGGCACGCGTGCGCGACGCCTCCGCGATTCGAGGCTTAACCTCGTGGCGACTGCCTGCGCGGGGCGGTGCCGAGAGAGGAGCGGGCGAAGCAAGGCGGAAGGAGGCGATGGGAAGGCAAGGCGGGACGGTGGGTGGACACGCACAAGAAGAGGACGAGCGCAGAAGGAGTGCTCAGGGAAGGGAGGTAGATGACGCGCAGAGGATGATAGGGACTGACGGATGGAGAGATTAGCTGTTTGTTGTGGTGAAACTCGTGGGATGAGGCGGGAATGGGCCGGGAGGCGGGAAGAGGGAGGAAGGGCAGGCAGGGCCGAGGGCAGCCAGACGCCGCAGCTTGAGGTACCGGGATGACGCAGTACTGCAAAGAATGAAGGAGAAGCAATGAACAGAATTGAATCGATTTTTAAGAATTTGCTTCATTTCTATTTATTGTAAGTCAAAAAATATACACTTTTCTGTGAATAATTGGTTACTGTCTCATTTGATACATTTAATAAAATTTATATACTTTAAAGGCTAAGAATTGATATTGTCATAAGTAGTAGTAATTAATGTCAAAATATAACACAATAATGATGTGGTCAATAAATATGTGAAAAATGTGTTTTTTCAAAAGATTAATAAAAAATGTGTTTCTGAACATTAAAATTTAGAAAGTCTATCGAATATAAGAACGTAGAATAACAGTTAATTTCCAAGTCCCTAGTATTTTTTTAATTTACAGTGAATTACATTGTCGTACATGAAAAGCACAAATTATTCATTATACACATTTTAAAGGCTCAATCAATTGAAAATTCTTCTGTGCAATAAAAATTAAATGAGTCTTTGAAGAACATGGCGCCCCTTTAGTGGAGCAGGTGTGGCGGGGGCCCAGAGCTCCGAGGGCACGCGCATACCCTTCACTGCCAACAGCAACGCCGCCGCCGCCGCCGGGGGCCAAAATAGCGCTGCCGCCGGGCCAAGGACCAAGGCCTCGCCCGCCCAGGTGCGCCCCGCCCCGTCCCCGCCCCGGCCAGCTTTCCCCGGCGAGGGTTCCCCAATCTCCAAGACGTGTTGCTAGGCTTCCCTTATGTCAGACGTCTCTTCCGGAACTGGTTTGGAAGAAACAATGGATGTGTCAACCAAATGGAGCGTTGGCAGTTCTCGCCTTTATTTCACGTTTTAGGAAAGGCTTTAATGAAAAGTATATTCTATTGAAAAGAGGCAGAACGCGTACAATATGATATTTCCGATGCATTTTACCGCATTTAAACATTCCTATTTAATGTAGCCTTCATAAGCGTAATGAAATGATTCGAAAGCTTTCACTTATATTTCTTTTAATCTGCCTTGCTAGAATTAACTGTCGCTATTGAATATACCTGCGAAAACATGAGGAAACGCGTTGAAGTTTATTATGCTCATGAAGTTAAACTCGTGGTGCTACAGAATGGTGCACAGACTTCCCATATTGATTTTCTATTTCCTTTGGTCTCGGTTAGCCATACGAACTTGCTACATTTTGCTCACTGTATTCAATTTCCGCCCAAAATACATCGTTTGATATTTTCTTCAATTTTTCATCCTAATAACAGAACGGAAATATTATTTTCAGAATATTAAAGAACAGTAAACCGCGTCCAAAATGACAATGTTTTTTAACAATTCGTAGTCGCTTGTAAGAAAATTAGCGCTTTAAGAAGATATTGCCCGAAAACTAATACAATTTTCACAAAAATGTCCATGACCATAAAAGAACAAATTATGGACAACAAATTTAATTCAAAGAAAAAATTTCTATCTTTAATTTTGCAGTTGTAGAAAGACTCCGAAAAAATCCAAAGTATTAAAATTTTAGAACATTCAGATTTAATCGTGAAAATCGGAACTATACCACACTTATACGTGCATTTTACTCTATTCTTACAAGAAATTTAAAGACAAAATTTGGAGCCGTTTTTGAGAAAATTTTGAAAATGTTCCAAGAGCTTCATGCAAAGTATCCACAAAAACTAATGAATCATTTTCATAATAGGAGAGCTTCAACTCGAGAAAAGTGGACGGGGATTTCTTCAATTTGGAAAACAGTATTAAGGCGCTAGTGTTGTTCACATATACCAGTCAAAGGACGAAAAAAACACTTTTTCTGTATCAGGCGATACCAACACGTGTATATCCGTTGAAATCTCGAAATCGACTTTCCGCAGCATTATATAACTTTCCCTATACTACGTATATTACTCCGTGTATACGTACGAATACGGGAAAGCGAAAACTAATTTTTGAAACTAACCCCTATCAGTAATAAGCTAATGTGTTATGACCTTTTTCATTTATTTTTTAAAGTGTTACTAAATTAAATGATAATAATCTGTGATAAACTGTCATTGCTGGCATTTTACAGATTTTTTAACAGCTTAGTACATATTTTAGTGTCAATATGCGAGATTAAATTATTCACTGTTGGGTTAATAAACTACCTTTGAGTAAGAATACCTAAAGTGTACGCCTCTAACGTAGAGAAAAGAGCAAGGCTTTTATCAGATGTCGCAATTGGAAGTTACCTTCTTTCCGCAAACTCATTCCTCGATAAAAGAAATATCCATCGCCAACAAACTGTACTTTTCCCAAGTGATTCTGCGCCTTCATATCGACGCGGGCCGAATGCGCTAAGAGAGGCAAGAACGGGATCTGCCCCAGAACCTCCCACCCTCCCCCGACACGACGACGTCGAAAGCATCGATCCAGAATCGAACCCCGGACCGCCAGGCACGCTGGAATGCGCAAGACGTGCGGAGGAGAGAGTATGGGCAGGAGACGGGCACGACGAGTGAGTCAGACCGCCCTTGGGCGCCGTGCCCATGGGCTCCGCGCCGTCACTAGCCCCCCCCCCCCGCCATGCCTCGCCTGCCGCGCCGCAGAGACTATTTGCGCGCACAGGTGCGACTTCACCACCGCCGCTGCCACAGTACAGTGGCCCCAAACTGTTCGCTGGAAAAGACAACAAAATAAAAAAAATCAGTGGGTAAAAGTTGTTAACTCATTCCATTCGTAAAAACACAACGGCGACGCACTATCTGAATGTGGGCATTCAGAGACAACAAATTCTAGAGCGAAATGTATTACCAGATAATACAAGAGTTATTGCAGATGAATGCTTTGCAAGATGGAGCTATGAGATACAAAGGAAAGAATAGCGTGAATTTATACTGCAATCGTTTCCTGTTAATGAAATTATGAAGAGACTACGATAAATAATTTTAAAAATGATGCAAATATACTTGTAACTTGTTTCAGAAAGAGATGATTAAATATTGTAAGGTAGACCCCTCTCCTCTTGTCTCTACTTTTGTGATAATGTACTCCTCTTTACGGCGAGAGAAAAAATGTAAATCCGAATAATGTTGTTTGCTACACATGCATATATGAATTTCTACAGCTGCTGTAGGAGGAATTTGTTATCACGGTCGCACGATATAACGTCCACTCATCTTTTCACCACTTCATCGCCTTCATCAAGTGTTAATGAACACACGCACGAAATATATTCGAAAGCTCTGACAATTGTAATGAAACTGATTATATAGAGCTCAACAACACTTACTTTCGAAGAACTAATACCAAAAATTTGTTCATGTGACGTGTGGCATTGTCTAAAATTAATTTATAAGTAGGCGCTTAACGCAGAGAGTGGTTTTCCCGATTTCCATTTCCTAAATCTTCAACTTCTTTAGTACACTGGTATGTAACCCAAATTTTCAATAATTTTACCTCGAACTTTCTGTTTTCCTATTCAAAACCCACTTAGAGTGATCGAGATTCCATCATGCGTATTGTATCTTATTCTTCGCGACAAAGATAGCTCTTGTAGTAGACATGATGTGGTAACTTCATTCCTTACACTTTTGACGTTTTCCGTTAATCTCTATTGCATATTCATTCATCCTTCCTAATGATTCTTCCACTTTTAACTCCCTTTAAAATATATCTTCATCCCCTTTTTATGTATTTCGTTATTTATACATTTGTGGAAGAAATGGCTGTTTTGGCCCCGCGCCGTTCGCCTTCCTCTCGGCCACTGCGCGCCGCCGCCAGCCAAGAGGCCGGAAGCCCCTGCCCTGTCCTGCCCAGCAGGCGCGCCCACCTGGGCCTGTCAACCTGCTGCCATCACAATTTCGCTTTTCGAGGCGAACTATCAGTGAAACTGATATGTTACGTCGTTGCTCTCCTAACTACGCCCTAAACTCTAAAGGGGGAAAATACATCGCTTTCTTTTTTTGTCTTTTTCTTTTTTTTTATATAAGACCGGGTGGCTTTTGTTTCTTACTAATTGTGTAAGATCGGATTTGTTATTGCTTTCTTGGAAAATGTAATAATCGTGTGACTCAAAGTAAAGTGTGGGTTGCTTAATTAAATAACAACACCAAGGAAACTTTACCTTAAGTTCTCACAATTCTGTAATGCCTGCAACTTTCATCCAAAATTGCCTCAGAAATATGTCATTTTACGAAAATGATCAAGGGATTCGTTTACAAGAAAATAGATCATTTTGCATGTGAATGAATAAATGGCAAGAAAAGGTATGAATCGAAAAATAAATTTGTTTTGGATTTATTGTAACAGAAGATTTGGATAGATGATGAAGAAACCACAATGTTAAGGACTTGAAAAAAGACTTGCAATTTATGGAATAAGCGTCGTTTGTTGGATGCTGCGGAATGTATTTGACCATCGAAATTAACACTTGTTACTGACTACGTATAATTCTCTTCGCTTAATGAAAAGAATGATTTACGTTTTCTGTTAATATTGTTTATGGGAAAAGGTTAAGAAGAATCTGGAACACAAATTAGAAAAACACGCGCTTGTTTAGAGTGCTATGACTGTGCCAGTCGCTGCGAATCAAATGGTGTTGACTTGACAAATTTTTAATAAATGTTATGTGTTCGTATGATTATATTGGTGTTTATTTTGTACATTTTGTTTTGGTGTTAATTGATGTTGACTAGATTGTTTCTAATATGTTAGGAGTTAATAAGTAAATTAAAGTCACTTTCTGTTAACTTTGTTACAGGGGCCTGAGCTGGTTCGGGTATCGAAGTTCTACAAGGAGTCAAAAGAAGGAAAGTTTGTCAGTTTCATTGACAAAGATGTCCGCACCCTTTACGACTCCTTTCGGCAGGGGGCCAAGGAATCCAGTAAGTACACGTGCAAGAAACTATCCATTCGCCCTATCCATACACTAAGAATTACAATCAAAACGCATAATTTCTGAGGTCAAGGTTTTATTTTACAGTTTTTCTAAGTATGTTAATTTGCTTTAATTTCCTTTCTCGAATCATGAAAATCAGAAAACGAAGGAGATATCCATGTGTCCTTGATGGAAAGAATGCATGTAGGCGATAAACATGTTCTGAAGAGAATGATAGCAGAATATACAGAGATAAGTTGGTCTTGAGAAGAATTGTGAGAGCTGGGTTCTCGAATTCAAGATTTCTTTAGGTTTCTGAACATGATTTACAGATCATGACTCACGTGCGATCGCTCAATTATTCTTTTTTGTGAGGTGGTTACAGTAAGATAATTTTAATGTTACTATGAAGCATATTTCAGAAAATAAATTTGTCCTTCAAAGATACCATGACTATGTTGTTCTCATAAGTTAGGAAAAAATCAGTTAATCGTGATACTGAAACTTTTATTACTTCACCTTCTAATAAATATATTCTATATACGAATGATTCATCTATTCTCGGTTTATTACTCTAATATCTTAATCATTTCTTACAATCAAGGATTGTGATGCTGAACCCTAGACTTTTGAGGCAGTGTTTTAATTCCCTCTTCGGAATTTCAACATAGGCGTTAGGGGAGGAAATCTTCCAATTTGAATCTCTTCCAAATTGAGCTAGGCCAGATTATGGAAAGAGTCGTCTTAAAAAAAGAGATAAAATATTTTCAAAATACAACATTAACTCCATCAACATCTTAATAGAGGCACGAAAATAATATGTTTCACGTATATGTGCCTCAGATTGTACATAGGCAAGCGTTACACTCGCTGTAATGTCACAAAATACATACACATGCCTAGAAAGTCAAATTTTCAAAGTAAAATAAACATTTAAAAAAAAAGAAATTAAAATGTTCGAATTATTGATAATTTCTACTAATCAAGCTTCAAGTAAGAGTGTTTTAGGTAAGATAAAAGAGAATAAAGAAACTTTCCGATGTCGTAGGATAAAAAGTTATGAAGGATGAAGTTAACACTTCTTTCGTTTTGATTATTACCAATAAAATCAGCATTAGGAATTCTAGAATAAAATCGTGAATAAGGATTTAATCTAAAAATTTTGTAATACTTCATTACGAAACGTTTCAAATGTTTGAACATTTTCATTTTTTTTTCTTTGAGAATTAATTTTTAGTCAACCAGAATTAAAAATAATTGATGTTATGGTGTGTTCACAGAAGTTCTATACTGCAAAATTTTTTGAACAATTATTTATCCCTCTACTAAGCTCGCATTGTAATTTCTCAGTAAGAGGATAACAATGAACAGTTTCTAACGAATTATTGATTCCATTGATGTGTTGTTATCGATTGATGTTGATGACACAAAGCGTTAATGATGTGCAGACAACGGGCCGTGCCTGGGGTGGCGGGACGCGCCCGGCCGGCCGTACCAGTGGCTGAGCTATGACGAGGCGCTGCTGCGCGCGCGCAACTTCGGCTCGGGGCTGACGGGGCTGGAGATGGGGCCCGGCTCGCTCATCGGCATCTACAGCCAGAACTGCCCCGAGTGGGTGCTGACGGAGCAGGGCGCCTACTGCTACTCCATGGTACTCGTGCCGCTCTACGACACGCTCGGCCCCGACGCCTGCGCCTACATCATCAAGCAAGGTGGGTCACGCCCCCCCCCTCCCCCTCCCCTTGACGGGTTTCTGGATGGCGCCAGGGAAGGGTGTGTGTGTGTGTGTGTGTTGAGATATAGCGAGGATCGGATTAATTAGCCCTTTCATATTCACATTATTCAAAGTGAATGGAGAAAGTCTGAAGTAGGAACAGCATCGAACAGGACAGGTGAAGAATAGTTGATATGTGATAAACAGGTATCAGACTTGTGGTGGGAAGTTTCTAAGGCTGGAGAGAGACAATGTAATTTCGAGATTATGCGAAAAATCATTATGCACTTTTCATCTTTATTCATGCAGTTTGGCATCGCTCACTGTCTGGCTAACTGGTGCGTTTTGATTTGACACCAATAACATTTCACATTTCGTTATTTATTTCTCAACATGTAGAAGAGACTTAAAATCAGAATTCATTTCTTCACAATTGAATTCTATTACATCTATCTCGGATCAAATTTGTCTTTTAAATTCAAATTCGCTCATTTTCAGATATTCAACGATTCGTGTTTATCTTCGTTGAGGTATTGATTCTTAATTTTCAAATTTAAAATGTCAATCAAAGCGATGCTCTTTAACCAATAAATGTATTTTTCACATCTGGCGTCGATTTTTTATTTCAACAATTTATGGTTTTATACCTCTTTCTCTCTTTGTCTTTTGATCTCGTCATAGTTGAGAAAATGAGCAACCAGTTAGATTTAGCAGACATTGCTCAAGCTTTGCTCAACTACTTCTACACACACACACACACAACTACTCACTTCTACTCAACAATTCAAATAAGATCTCTTCCATTTCATCTGAAATTGATGATTGGCAAAGCCCATTTACTTACGATTATCTCGGCGTTCACCCGTTCCTCCTACTATGTATATCACTAATTGCATCGTCATACTTATTACTCTTATAATTATTATCCTACGCATGATAAACCGGAGGAAGACAACGATGTTTGCGATAAGATAATGTGGCATCTCAAACAGTCATTGTATTGTAATCCCGCCTTTCAAATCTAGGAAATATAAAAGTCAAAATGTTTATCAATACTTGGGTGAATTACATATCTTTCTAATCACATTTGTTCTAAAGCACTTACTGTTTGTTTTTTCACGTCTATTTCGTTCTCTCTTGACGGTGCTTCTATTTGTTCACAGCCCCGTTCCAAAAATGCTGCCGTTGGAGAAACGGTAGTGTTATTTAATTGTATTTCTTATTTTAAGATCGCCAGTTTCCCCACCCCACAAAAGAAGACGTCGTCCCCGCCTCACGCAGGAGTTGGAAAATCAATTATAGCTAAAAATGAACCAAATCTCCCAAAGCCCGAATCTTTTCCTTTTTTTTATTCGGGAGGGGGGTCGGATGCGAAGTCCCGTAGAATTATATTCGATATCCTTTTGTTTATAATAAACATATTTGTTATTATGCTGTATATTATTTATGTACTGAAGTTACAATACTATACAATATTATTGTTTAAGTGCTTACATAATTCAAACATAAATATTTAAATCAAGTTTGCAAAATAAAAGAAGGTAAACTAAAACTCTAGTCCCCGCCCTCCGAGATTCACTAGTGATGCTCCGTCACTTGAAGTTTTCTATAAATTACAAGTGTTCATTGAAATCTCATCTTCACTTTTAAAGTTCTACCAGTAAATCCATTGTATTTATTATGTCCGTATGAAATGACATGTGGTAAAGATACAAGCTAAAAATACGCCTTCACTCAAAATTATATTCAAATACACCAATATGAAATTGTCTCGTTTAACGGTATGGAAAATCAATATCAGTTTAGCACATGTAACACAGTGCATGATGACAAAGAGCTGGTGGGAATATTGGCGCGAAGTATTGGGAGTGTCCGAAAGTAAACAATTTCAAATTCAACTTTATATTTAGTAAATATAGCACTTCAGTTTTTATAAAGGTTTGTAATGGCACGTGCGCTTGATAAATGAAGAATCCACATAAGGGGATAATGCATGCACATTGCATGTCGACAATTCTGGATCTCATAAGATTGGTTTGGCGTTATTACTTCACTCACGTTCCAACCCTTCGTACAAAATAATAATTTCCGCTCTTATTTATCCAAATCTCTTCTGGGATGTTTTCGGGTCGCGTGGAAACCATCCATTTTTTTAGCAGATGATAAAATAGAGCACAAGTGCGAACTGTATGGGTGTATGCGTGCGCAGCGGACATTCAGGTGGTGATCGTGGAAGACGACGCCAAGGCCAACCTGCTGCTGGACCGCGCGCCGCGCTCGCTGCGCCGCCTGGTGAGCATCAAGGAGACTCGCCCAGCCACCAACCAACGCGCGCGCAACCGCGGCGTGGAGGTGCTGCGCTTCGAGGACGTGGAGAGCGCGGGCGCCGCGCGCAACTCCCCGGAAGTGGTAAGCAGCTCGCT